ATTATGTGAGCGACGCCCTGTGCTGGAGCACCACATTTCCAATTAAGCGAACTCCCCGCTTCGTCTTTGTTCTACAAGTAGTCTATTCAGCTGGCAGCGGTCCTTCATCGGGAATCAGAAGCCTTGTGGTTTTAGTACTAGTGCCGGTGTTCAACTTCTTTTCCAAGTCGCTGTCTGATGAGCGGTCTAGCCCTCAGCTATGAAGTATAACGGGACTTTAAAATGTGCGCAAGAGGGTGGCACAACTTGTCGTCCACAGGGTACCCGGGGGCTTAATATGAACTTATATCCACGCAGTTTACGCCGTAAACTAAACTGCCTTTTAATTTCGTATTGTGAACTAGTAATACCAGCCAGTCAGTGGTCACGTGACACTAGGCTGTCTTCTGTGTTTGGTTGGCAATATCGTATTACAAACGTTATTTTGACATTTTGTTCACGTTTGATCTGTCAAAAAGTAACAGCAATAGCAATAGGTTATTTTTCCTACGTTGTTTTACAATCTTGCCAATAAAAATATTCTCACAGGACATTGGCGAAATCGCCATTTTTTTTGTATAATTTTTATAATAATGTTAAACTACCGTACATAGTTATTTTTACTTGACATGGCGAAATCATTGATTATTTCGATGGAGCCATAACATTTAAAAGAAGAAGAAGAAAACATTGACTTACAATTATACAATAAATCAATCAGTTTACTGTGTCTTGGTGTAGCTTTAATTGAATTGTTTTAAGTATAATTGTATAATAATTATTATAAATTTGAGTTTATATATTTTTAGACAATCGTTTCATCATGTGTGATAAATACGAATTGTTTGAGTAGCTCGAAAGTGATGCTTCACACGATAATAAATGATATGGAAAAAATCAAAAGAAGACAACTGCGAGATCGCAGTGATCCATTTGAAATGGATGCACAACAATTTATGAAAAGATACCGACTTAGCAAAGATATGGTCCACAATCTTTGCGATGAACTTGAACCGCACATGTCGAGGCCTACAAAATCCACCGATGGATTGAGACATGATTGACACCAAGGTTATGTATCACTAAAGGCAAATATAATTTCTTACAATTTAATTTATAGTCAAATATTCTTAAAATATTATTGACATTTTTCAACAAACTACAAAGTAAACATTTACCCGCGGAAGTTCGTCGACGTTTGACGTCGTCGTTTGGAAACTTAATTTACGTTTTTCTCTTCAAAAATTAAAATATAGTGTATTGATTTTATTATGTAGTGTGTTTATTAATATTATTATTATTATATAGTGTCTTTATTTATTTTCGTACATGAAATATACGTATGTATTATTTTTCTCTTAAACTAAGTGACAAATATAACACCGTAACACGAAACAAAGAAGGTAATTGAAGCAGACTGACAGTGCAAATTCAATAGGATTTTTTAAAAAGTTTAAGCAATTTGTAGCTTTCACATGCAAATAATGCAGAATAATACAAATAGTACAACCTTGATAGCCTAACGGTTTGCACTGGATGAGAAGTTCCCGGGTTCGATACCGGTAGGATCAATTTACCAAATTAACTTTTCTAAATGGTTCTGGTCTTGGTATTCTATTGTAAGACAATCACCCGGTCTGAAACTAGGGAACTCTCTGTACATACTCCCCATGAGTATCAGAGCAACAGAATCCCAGAGCAGAACCAAATAACAAAAGTTCATTTCTCAAATTGGTTCTACTGGGAATCGAACCTGGGATTAAGAACAATGGAATTTATTCCGGGGCATAACTCAAAACACCCAGGCCAAAACAACTTTCGAAAAGTTAACATTTAGTTTTATAGTTGATTGAGCAGATTTTTTACGGTTTTTAAAAAAATGCTCGAATAACTCGAGAAATCGGGTACGAGAATTCTCGAAACTCAAGAAAAAAAAGTCAGACACTCTAAGTCGTAATAAATGGCATTGTATAAAATTTAACATTTACGTATAAAATTTATTTGTAAATAATCAAGGCTACTCAATTATACGTGTGTTCAAGTAGTTTTTCACTAGAAGCTACATATGGTGCATTTTGGTAAGTTTCCAGTAGAAGCTGCATATGGTGTTTTTTTTTGCGCCTTTCAATTGTTGCAAGCAAAATTAAGCAGTACTGCTATGACATTACATTTTAAATTCAACGTTTTAGCTTTTTCATATTCCTTTACATGTCACGTTTAAATAGGTTGACCTGGGACATTTTTTGAGTGGTTTTTGTATTAGACCCGTCGTCCATTTATTTGTAAGTCAATGATATACACTTATTTATCTAAATTTATTTTAGAAAATAATATAAAAATTTAACTGCTGTAATAATAATATAATATTTATTCTATATTCATACCACGTTTATTTACATCTCATAATTCCTCGCCTGATCCCTTTTTCTCCAACTTTCAAACCCGTTTCCAAATTACATTTCATGATAGTCAGTCATGATAGTCAAATAAACACTGTCACGTGTCAAGTGGATGTTATTTCAAAGGATAGGCCTTATAAAACTAAAGTTCCTCAATTAAAACTGTTCAAAAGATGCAATAATGCACGCCTCCGTACCAATGGTTACAGATGGGCCAGGATCTCGTGGCTTAAGGTGTTTTTCCACCGGCGAGAAGAGACGAGGATTGAGAATTCTAGGGCACAATTTCAATTCTTTCCTAGCGCATCTTCGATGGTAATAGTCTGGATTGACGAGGATGTGCGAGACACAGTGGGCTGATTTCGAAAAGTGTAGACTTAAGGCTTGAAATTGTGAGAGTCGGATACTACTAGTCAATATGATAATTTTACGTTCTGGAACTTTTTTCGTATCGTTTGACGTCGTCATTCGGAAACTTAATTTACGTTTTTCTCTTATTTAAAAATATACAAATATAGTGTATTGATTTTATTATATAGTGTCTTTATTATTATATCTATTTTAGACTCTCGCTAAGGCCTAAAACATTAACTTTGAATTTTTAAACGGAGAGGCGGTATTTACCGGCAATGGCAAAGTCGACCGGGGTCAGGGACTCAGGTTCAAGAAATGGCGAACAATACGTGCCGTATCGAGCAGGACCGCCTTCTGCATTTGTACTGGAAACGACACGCCACAGAAATCCAACCGCCTCAAGCTGTTAGTAAGGCTGACTGGAATTAACCCATTTGCGGACAAAACAATTGGGATTATTTCAATTGAGGCCACATCGCGCATGTCGGTGATCTCGTGCGCCATTATTATTGTTATTATTAATTATTCACTTTTATTATTATTCATTAATATTATTTTCGTACATGAATAATACGTATCTATTATTTTTCTCCTAAACTAAGTGACAAATATAACACCGTAAGTTACCGGTAAATGTTCATCCATGTTTTCGAACGTTACATTTTACAGGACGAGCTAGTCAACTACGGGGACATGCCTCATTACAAGATTTATAACCATGATCTGCCCCCGTAGCATGGCTACTCATGATAGTCGCGACGCGCGCTTCTCTACAATATCTATAAATCTCTATAATGCCAATATTATAGAGATATTTTTTTATAAATTTGAATATTTGTATTTCTGGAACTACTCAACCGATTCAGAAAATTCTTTCATTAATAGAAAGCTACAGCTTAAAGTTCGTTCGTCGACGCACGGTTCCATATTTGCATAACACAAATTTGTACCTTAATAATGGGAAAATAGAGATGAATATGCTAGAGGCGAAAAACATGACGCGTCGCGACGCTTCGACTCTGCGCCAGTGTGAGTTAAGCCTTAGAGTCATCGCGAACTCGCGCGGGCCCACGCGAGTCAGGGCGAAAGTCGGTTTCTGTTGTAGAGTTAATAACTCTAAGTAGATAGCAATACGTTTGAATATCACACCAACAAATATTTCAATTTTTATTACGTCAATCCAGACTATTTCCATTGATGATTCGCTAGAATAAAATTGAAATTTTGTCACACAAATTTTAATTCCCGTCTCATCTCGTCTCGTCTCACTAGTGGAAAAGCACCATTGGACATTTAATTGATGACGTCCAAGTGTAGCAACACATTTAGCTGGTCATCACGACAGTATAAATACGACAATAATAACCGACTTAAAGAGATTGCCGAACATATATATTTATTTGAAGTTGCAAGTTATTTAGTGTTAAATGTTTTATGCTACCGCAGTAGCTACCACCCCGACGGATATAGAAAAAAGTTTTAAACCCAAAGGTTAAACAACCCTCGTCAAAAATCTAACACGATCTCAAGTCCAACAACGACAAATACCTATAATGAGTGTCTAACAACGCCAATAATATTAAATAGCCTAAAAGGAAATGAAATCTAAAAATTCAGTGCCAAATATAAAGTTTTGATTACAATGATATCAATAAAACGGTAAGATTAATCCGGAGTAAGAGATATAAAACGAACTCCAAAAAGACGGTAATGGTCGGATTTGGCACGCGGCGACAAGGGAAGCGGTGGCGGTCCGCGCACGGTCAACGACCACAAAAATTCGTATACATACACGTTACTCCCATTACACCGTCAAAACAAAATTTTTGGTTCTATCGGCAACGAAAAATCAAACAAATTCTAAGTAAATGAATGTCGCTGTCCTAAAATTAAATAGAAAACCATCATTATATTACATTACTAATCAAATACTAAAGTACCGAACTATGTACTTATTTTGTAAATAAAAACTTAAGACAAATGTACCATATTCAGAAATGTACAGGTAAGACCTAATTTATTACATACATGCTGTAATTTCATGTTGTAAATTTAGTCGAAAAGCGACTGTGGCAAACATTACGCTGTACAAACTTTAGATGCAAAAAGCGGAATATTCGCAAATGCCAGGTCCTGCTCAATCAGACACAAATAACGAAATGTACATATGCAATCGAAATCGCCACAAGCCTCTTTAAAGTATAAATATTCCCAATAGCGGCAGCAGGAACTAGGTCATCACAACGTTGAAATAGTCACTATACTTACCCAGTCCCTCCTAAAACTGCTTTGCGACGCACTTCTTATGCTCACATAATATTAAAAAGTCTCAGCACAAGAGTCTATGATCAGGAAATATTTCCTGGATGTTTGTCGTATAAGAGCCCTTTATTTTTGGTAGTTGTAGGGGTTGAATTGTCGGTTTAAACGTGATAAAGCGGCTTGTATCGATTGGGCGGCGCGCGGCCGCGCGCTCCACCATGGAATGAGCGCCACCCCTCAGGCAAGAGAGAGCGTGGGCCGATCGGCAGGCGGCGAGGCAGGGCGGCAGGGGCGGTTTCGGTATGCGAGTTTTTCACATTTTCCCGCTACAGGCATCTACACTCTACTATAGGGGTGTGCGGCCCTAGTTTGTTTTTATCACACTACCTATACGCATTCCCTACCGCCAGCGAATCCAAGAGCAACTATCACGTTGCATTAAACTATGTTAGTTGCACTAACCGCGTGTCGTATGTAACGAACTCAAATGCACTGTTCTTATGACAGAATAGTAAAAGCTTGTTGTATGGTGTTGTTTCTTAATCCCCATCCATTACGGATTTTTACTCGTCCTGCTACCCTCAGGTATTTAGAAGAACGCTAAAAAAAAGGATTAGGATAGATGTTTGAGAGCGATGGAAATATTTTCATATCTTTCATTTCCCATCTTTTAATTTATTTTCACCTCACTAGCTCGAAAAGGCTTTCTTTCTTTTTTTTTATTATATTAAGTGACGGGACGAACAGGTGTGCCTGATGGTAAGCTCTACACGCCTGTCCATAACAGTTGCAGTGCCACTCAGAGCTTTAAATCGCAAAGATCTGAGGAACACTGCCACTGCGCCCGTCACCCTGAGACATAAAGTTGACAAGTCCCATATGCCTGTAATTTCACCAGAACCCTTACCCTTCTAAACCGAAACGTAGTAATGCTAATGATACTGCTTGGCGGCAGAAATAGGTAAGGTGGCAGTACTTCCCTGGACGAACTCTTTCACAAGGAGCTCTACTGCTACTAAAAGTACTCTTAGTAGAGTAGAGTAGAGTAGAGTTAAGTACTCTCAATACACGATGCTTTCTCATTAGAAATCTGCGCGCAAAAGCGTTTTATGCACGCTAACGTTGAAAAGGTTTTTGAAATTCGAGCTTGACGATGGACTATGGTGCTCCTAACTTTAATTTTCGATGAAAAAAAAAACATAATGACACACGCGATTTGTCGTACATTACTTATATATGTAATATAAAAACGTTGGTTTAAAAAAAAATTGTTCTTATTATTGTCGACATTAAATAGACAATAATAATTCGTCTAAAGAACTAAAATAATTTAAATAATCACTTAATAACACAAAATTGTAAGTCCAAGTAAGAATAAAAATTGATGAGGAGCAAATTCAGAAAGCAACCGAAGGTAAACTTTTCCTTTTGATAAAAACAAATGTTTTATAATTCAACTGTTTTTTTTTTCATCAGCAAAGTTGTTTTCGTTTTCGTCTCGTGGCTTGAATACAAGCACTCGCTTCAAACAACAACGTTGCATCCTTGCATTACAAATAACTATTTCCTGCTTGCTTGCTTTTCGTACACAAAGCTTACACACTGTAAAGCACATCATCATACATCATCTCATAGGGTCTAGGTAAATACGCACAACATAATACATCATCTCATAATACATCCACATAATATACTTACATAGACAGCACGAATCGTAACATAAAACGTAATGTATAAGTATACAGCAAGAATATACATATACACTGTTTTTAGAAATTTTTGTTTTTCTCTTCAATTGTTTATCCAGAATAGACTAATAAAATAAAATTTGATAAAACTTATTTTTACAGTTCATAGATCAAACGGTAGAATTATGAGTTTTATCTCGGTATCATATCTATTTATTATCTTGAAATTAGGTATGAACATTTAACAATACACATTATAAATTTGAACTTTTTTGCCCTGACCCTTGCATGTCCCTACAATGCAAAAATAACTCTATACCTGTTAGCACGCATACTATTTAAACCAAATAAGGACGTGTTATATCAGGAGACACTACGGTTTGTATTATATTTTCTGAGTTTAAACTAGAACTTGGTGTAAAAAAAAGCAAATACTGTAGCTTTCACTTTTTGAAAACACCCATGAAAAATATGATTCGGTGATAGCTCATAGAACAAAACGGATTTCGTTCGGGCGTTTCTGCCCAATTACAAAATAAAGGCAACTATTTTTTGTTTATTTTCTGTCCAACTTTCATTTCCGTCTTCCTTCAACGTCACCTCTCGGAAACCAAATGTCGATTATTAATTATGAAGTGATCTTTTATGACACAAAAGGTATTTCATAATTTCATTATATTTCAAAATAATGTAGCGGGCACGATAGAGTGTCGTGGCACTGATAATAACTCGTTCCTAAACAGGCGAAGATAAAGTTCACTGGTTATCATAAGGTACGCTATTGTAAGCTCTCAAGGAAATGATTTTAATTTGTAAATGGAGCCCCAACGTTATAAACAATTTTTCATTATACATTAACGTGATTAATTAAAGATTATAATTCATTCAAAACGAAAGTTCGAAATGTTTTCATATGTACATCTTTTTAGGTGTAGCAGTAGAGCTCCTTGTGAGAGCTCGTTCAAGGAAGTACTGCCACCTTATCTATTTCTGTTGCCAAGCAGTAACGTCAGCATTACTGTGTTCCGGTTTTGAAGGGTAAGGGGTGCTGGTGAAATTACAGGCACATGGGACTTGTCAACTTAAGACTCAGGGTGACGGGCGCAGTGACAATGCACCTCAGATCTTTGCGATTTAAAGAACTGAGTGGCACTGAAACTGTTATGGACAAGCGTTTAGCTTACCATCAGGCGCACGACTTGTTCGCCCCGTCCCTTGATATTATAAAAAATGTATTATCTTTAAATGATTACGTAAGACAATCGTACTGAATTATAAATGGAAAAGTCAATGATATAAATATAGAAATAGTTTGATATAAGGACACTGCAGGGGTCGAAGCTTAATAGGGTTGGGGTTGGTTGGGGTGCGATAAACCCGCATGCCCCGACTACCTCACCCATCACTTTCCTCCGTGTTTTCAAAACATGACAAAGGATGCAAACTTCGTCAAGAGCGAATGCACTTGCTGTGGCTCGAGTACCATCCACGCCCCATTGAGGATATATTTAACTATTTATAATACGTCATTAACCAACCTAAGGGGCAACAAAACTGAAGAGCCAACAAAATCTGTAAACTGGTTTTTTAATCATTTTAAAGTATGTTTTAAAAAAAATTTCCTTTTTTTGAACAAAGTATTTATTTCCCACTCCTATGTGGGCTGATTGCCCAAACATGATTGCCAATGAGTGTATAAAGTTTGCAAAATTAATGGCGCTCAAGCTAAATCACACAAAGAAGTCGAGTTTAGGCACACTTTATATTGCTAAATGTGACATCCATAGGTTGAAACGACTGTTTAGCGTTGATTATGTCACACTGAATTAATTGACATGTTAAACACAAGGCACAAACATATAACACAATAATTCGGAACTAATGTGCACATGACACGTTACTTTTTCCCTTTGCTTTAAAAAATAAAAATTGTGACTTTATATTTACAACACATTATACTGTGTGTTCGTCGTAAAAATAAACATTTAATTCGACTTATAATATTTCCACTTTTTGGCTACTGCGTATTCAAAGCACTTTAATTATCGAAATAGTGGCCAAACAAAAATTTTACTCAGGTATGAATTACAAAACCGCAATATAATAACCGTCTATGTTGAAATTTGCAAATATTATTCTTCTAGCTACATTCTTGCGGTACCATATATCCGTCAAGTAGGTACTGTAATAACGTCGAGTTTCCAATAATCACCGCAAACTATAATTTGTTTTTTTTTTTGCAAACGGTATGTAAAGGATTCGCCCAAATACTTTCTGATGGTCTGTATAAGTAAAATGGCGCACTGGCCGAATTTCAACGTAAGCAAGAGATGGCTTTTGTTAAAAATGCAATTCGGCCTTATCGCGAATTATCCGGTAGCATCGGTCTAGGCTGCGCGTATTCAGGCTGCGTCTGAAGTAATGTGACGAGACTACTAAAAGGCATCAAGTATATTTGAAACGCTTCGATTAAGTGATGTGCGAATATTTTAAGTCTACTTACTTTGTGGTAGCCTAATGGTCTGATCTACCGCCTCTCAAGCAAAGGCCGTAGGTTCGATACTGACACTGAGTTTTTCGGATTTATGTGCGAAATTTAATTTGAAATTTTCCGTGACATGCAAGATTTTAATAATCGAACAGATCAAAATTTAAAACCTTTGCATTTAAATTTTATCTTCATCCAACATCAACAGCTTTTCGGTAAATGAAAACATCGTGATGAAACCTGCACGTCAAATAAGGTTCACACCCTCGGGAAACGTGTGCAGTCCCCAACCCGCATTGGGCCTACGTGGCGGACTACGGTCTAAAACCCTCGCCAGAGAGGAGACCCGACTCCAGCGGTGGGACGTAGGTATACATAAGTGGATTGATCATCAAGGCACTTATATTTAGGTTAGAATGGTAGCGTAAACCTTCAATGTCCTCGAATAATACAAATTAAACAATGACTCTACGCTCTTTGCACTCGTCCACCATATCCCGTCGAGGTCACCACTACGCCAATACTCGGGGTGGCTATACATATATATGGGTTATATTCCTCAGTAGGACTAGCACGTTGGGACGCGACTTGCGTGAGAGCGACATAGAAGCGCGAGATATTGTTATTGTATATGGGAGCACAGCGGTATCTCGCGCTTTATGTCGCTATCACGCAAGTCGCCCTATCATGCTAGCCCTACAGGTTATAACTACTATTAATATTAATTATAATGTTACACTGCAACAATTCACAAGTTAAACTTATCTATATTAAACACTCATGACAGAGTAAATAGATGCAAATGTGCATACGGCCCTGGCAGTAAAATTAATTAAATGATCTGCAAGGTAATAAAAAATCGTGATACTTTGAAATGCGCTAAACATATTATATATAATATTTTTTAAATCATAAATGCTTTGGACAAAGTTATATTATTAAAAGGAACTTGGTAAGGTATTTTTGGTCTGAGTGCAGCCTGTCAAAGCCAGTATTATTTTTTATAACTCTGCTGGATCGAATAAAAATTAAAAGATTTACATCTGGATGTCATTTGTACTCGAAACTACGTCGCATCGTCGTTATCGACGACGATACGACGTAATTTCTGCTACCCACGCAGCGAGATCACACTATAACAGATCACAAATTATTGGATACTATTATCAAAGTCACCTTAATATTGTTCGATAATTGTATTTTATAATCTCATGTTTTTAATACGCTTTAAGTAGCTATTTTGCAGAAACAAAAAGTATTATTATACCTGATTATTTCAAATAAGCTTGTGGGCGAGGGTTTGAGTTAATACTGATAGAAAGTACTCTGTCCACATGAATTTAATGAAGAAGTATAACAGGGAAAAGGTGAAGGAAGGAAGAATGAAAGGACAGATAAAGTTAAGATTGTAACAAAAACAGGTAAGTATAAAAACAGGTGCAATAAAAACAATAGTATAAAAACACTCTCTACAAATTAGAAGTTGTAGCTTATTATTAAATGATAAGTGAACTTACTCCAAAGGGCCTGTAATCGTATTGCTGCTTATAAGCAGTTAGGTTAACATGATAGGTGTATACGATCTTTCCTCTCCGAGAATTTTGATGGGAGTGGTGAAGGAACGAAGCCAAGTAAGAATGACGAGGGGAAGAATTAGAGATCAATTTAAATTTTCAAAAGTAAGCGGCCGGGAAACAGAGGAAAGGGTGATAAAAAGATGGGATGATGATGAAAGCGGTCGCATCGACGTAAGCTACAGTAATCATGAACATACGTTGTAGAATTTTGATTTCTTCCTCTAGCAAATGGACGTTCCTTCATTGAACGCTTTAATCACTTGAACTGAAAATTAACTATGGGATTGCCTACCTTGAGATGGAAATATCTGCTATTGCTACTCCATTTCTCTGCTAAGAACATGTTATAAAATTGTCGACCAAACGAGCTAATGTCCATATAATAATCTGCAAAATAAAAGTTTTTTTTATAAACACCCCATTTATTACTAATTATAATTTATTTTTACGGTCTTTGTTTACGTATATTAATTGTTGGGTAATAAAACAGCTATAAAAGTAAATTAGAAATGAGCTTATTCAAAAAATGAATATTACTTTGTTATTTACTAAGCTAGGTATCGAAAACTTTTGTGTAATTAAAAATACGGAAACAACCGAATGGAATGATGAATGTTCCGAAATATCTTGCTGACGTATCACTACTACCAACTTAATTTATATTATACGGAAAACTATTATTAGCCATTTTTATTGTAAATTACCTATTATAGATTTAAAAGAGACCTTATCTATAAGTATATAAAATTCCGGAGCAATGCACTGGTAGATGTGCGTAAAGCAAAAACTGTTCTACATAATGAAAGCTTAAGGATATGTTACTTTTAGTTAGTGTAGGTTAAAAAAAAAAAAGGTGTACCATAGGGGTACCTACTACAACGGATTTTTCGAAATTCAAACCATTGAAAAATGGTAAAAATGTTTATATGAATAATCGTAATCCTTGAACTAACAAAAAATTAAACTTAGTAGAAATATTGCGTAATGCAAATGGTAAAAGATTGACGTGACGTTTTTTCAAAACTACCCCTAAATAGGAGTGAAATGGGGTATTACAAATTTGTACAGAAACTTTTTAACGGATAGTGCTATTTATTTCAAACTTGGTTTGGATACTTTAAATAAAAAATAAATAAACACATGTTTCAAGGTTTTTCAATACAACCCCTAAAAAAGGTTAAGTTATCAAAGTAGTAGTAGGGTATCGAAGTATCTTAAAAATTTGTTCTCTAGAAAATTGTAGGTAGGTATTCCTTAGACTTGCAAACTTGAATGTTGACATAAATATTCCGCAGTGCAAAAATTTATTCGAAACTACTTCTAAATAGGGGTGAATTTAACCCGTATTTCGTCATACGGAAATGTTATTCTGAATGACAACAAAATAACTCACAAAAACTATAAAAATTTATTTGTAATCATTAATCAAGCTTTATAATAGTTATTAATATTACATATATAAAAAATATTCTTCATTAAAATCATCATCTTCATCAATTATATTATTAAAATCAGTACATAATGTGACACTTAGCGCACGGGCGATTGGAAATGAGTAGTGGTTAGGGAAATTTAATTTCTGCCCTGAAATACTTCCACATTTGTTTAAAAAACTAACTAGAAGTCTTAGGATCGTATTCCAGAACTCTACTCAATGCTCAAGTCAGGATTTGAGCATACTTGAGTATGATTTCAAGCACTGGAAATACGACCCTAATGGCAAGGACGAGTATGATTTTCAGTGCTCACTGCTCAACTCTACTCAAAACTCAAGTCCTGACTTGAGTATTGAGTAGAGTTCTGGAATACGACCCTCAGACTCCTATTTCGATCATATTTGTTCAAGTCCGGAAAGACTTCAGCGTATATTTGAAACTGATACACTTGTAGCCAAAGCTCGATAAAAACATTGTCAAGATGGCGTCGCGTTGTTTCGGCGGGCCTAAAGGTAGGTAGTACTTCTAGTAATTTTCATTAAAGTTGAGCACTAAAAAAGTAAATCTCTAACAAATCATACAAATGAAACTGTGTCGTACAGAGTGGTAAAAACGTTTCTATAGAAGTATAATAACTATATGTATATTTTCGGTAAGTTAGTTTTCTTTCGGAAGTTTTTATTCAGAAGAATAGTTTTTTTTTTGGGAATTGTAATTTGAACAAGCTCTTGGTTGTTTGCTAAATATGAATAATTCTGTCGGTAGATTTCAGTAACTGCTGCACTGCAATTTAATTTATTTTTCGGAACCTTTATTTGTCATCTATAAACCTTAATAATTACCAGGTAACCAACTGAATATCCACTAATCAAAGAATTTGCCCAAAATTTGAATGATGCTTCAGAAATGCTGCAACCGAATCTAAACGCTAACATACATGCTGCGTTACTATCCTGGCCAATTTGTGTATATAGAATTTTTCTTTTACGCGAACACTAATTTACCAGGGAGGAGGAATCCACAGCAGAGTCCAAAAACAACTTCACAATTTTTACTCAGCATTAGGTATAATAATATTAAATGAAAGTGATTTGTGTTCATTTTTGCTATTCATGAAATCAAACAGATATGAACATGACGCAATACGTATATTCAGTTTCCACATTATTTATGTAGAAAATTTAATACCTTATTTAACACTACGATTTATAAGCATGTACATAATAATTCATACTGAACTACTATTCACATATATATATACTATTCACATTATATATATTTACGACTAAGGATTTTTGTATAATATGTACACACGTTACAGATACGATGTTTATCATGTACAAAGTCATATTACATGTTCTTAATGTTATAACTATACATACAAACTACAAACAACCATAGTACACATCCAACCCAAGTCTAGCGCCACACTTGCCGAAAATTCAGAGGCAGAATTTCCAAGCCGTCATTCTTTCTCTGATTACTACTCTGAATTTCTGCATGTATGGGGTCATACAACAATGTCTATAAAAGTCAATGTCTTATTAGAGTAAACATATCTATGGTGACATTGAAGGTTGCAATAAGAGATTTTGTAATGTGTGCCAATTTTTGCTGTCAGCCGTATGGAAGATATAAATAACAATATGTACTTATTGCGTGTAAAACAAAATATTAAACGCTATACCCATATTGCCTGATCCACCCAAGTCCATCCTGGGTACCAGCTATCGGTTTGTACTCTAGACCTATCCAGTCACTATACCCGTGGGCTTCTAACTGCGGTAGTATGTATTCGTAGTTGATCTCGCCAGAAATGTTGGGCTCGTTGCGACCCGGGACTTGAGCTATCTGGAATATGTCACAATCTCTATTATGTGATGTCAGAGAACAAACAAGTAAAGGACACTCTCCGCCCCTGCCTAGCTTTAGATACCGCATCGCGCCCCGCACATTGACGGTCATATTGACTGATCGGCACAAAGGCTGTCGGCGACCCATTTCGCGCTAAGAAGGCTTTGATATTTGAATGTAGTTTTTATTTATTCATTACGAAACTTGTACGTTAATTTAAAACATCATTGTGCGTTACTATTTATAATGGTGGTGAATTGTGTTGTATACTGCTGTTTATCATCATCTGAACGGAATAAAGAGGAATTTCTTTCGTTTTTCGGAAGATGAAACGAAATACATAAAAAGAACTTAAGTCTGAGACTCATTCAGTTATTATTTTCTTCATTTATTTAGTGCAGAGTAATATATAATACAGATTTACTAAATCAATATAATGAGACGCCATAAATTCGTAAGCTAGTAGACAAGGGTTCTTGAATTTTCAATTTGTATTGCTGATAAATATTATGTAGTGAATATTAATATTATTAACTAGGTAATGATAAACTTGGACACGCAATTTCCAATACCTTGGTTACTTTATTTAAAAGTACCTGACCAAAAATAAAATTTTAAGTGCTTTCAATATATTTTATTAAATAAATCTTCAATATTATTTTAGATAGTGAATTGATGAAAAATATATTATATCAACATAAATACCTAATGAACATGTGTAATTATTAGGATTCTATTAATAGAATTATAGATAACAGAGTCGCGTTAGAATTTTCGCTATGTTGCCGCTCTGAGCACGTAACGCGTTGAGAAAGTGATGGGTAGCCCTGCCACTTCACGCACAGGGTATGTAAACACATTAAATTTACGTTAAAAGCATTAAATATATACAATAAATAGATACCTACGATTGGTACAAATCATTGCCAGCTACACTCTTTCCATGAGTGTTTTATTTGTATTATTGAAACTGGTAAAGTCAAGAAGAAAAAAGAACAGTAGCATCATAGCATAATAAGAGCAAGTAGGGCAACTCCCGTCTGTTCGTTGCGTAAATATTAGGGGTTAAAGTATGAAATTGCCGTTTTATTGCAATAGGTTCTTTGAATTTTCATAGAATCTTCATGGTTTGAGGTTTTCGAATGAAACTTTTTTCAAATGGTTTCTGTGATTTTTTTTTTTTTTTAATTTGAAACATTTGAATATCGACTTTCAATTGTTTTTGTTATTCAATTTAGACAAGAAAGATGGATACTGCGAAAATTCGAGTGATTTTTGAATACGAGTTCCGACGCGGAACTAACGCGGCAGAAACAGCCCGCAATATCAATGCTGCGTTTGGAGAGGGGTCTACTAATGAACGCACCGTGCGATTTTGGTTTAAACGCTTTCGTAATGGAAATTTCGACTTAAAGAACGAGCCACGAGGAAGACCGCCCACACAGGTGAATAACGTAACATGTGATGAAAAGTGGATTCTTTATGATAACCGGAAAAGAAAATTGCAATGGCTGACCCCAGGTCAAATGCCACAACAGTGTCCTAAAGCAAAACGTACCAATAAAAAGGTAATGGTAACTGTTTGGTGGTCTCAGCATGGTGTTATTCACTATAGTTTTCTCCGATCTTGTCAAGCAATAACGGCAGATGTCGATTGTGCCGAATTCCGAACCATGTTGACAAAACTAGCAGTAAAACAGCCCCGACTCATGAATCGATCTTCACCATTATTGCTCCACGACAACGCGAGACCTCACACAGCACGAGAAACCATTTTGACCCTTCAGGAACTGCAGTTAGAAACCATTCGTCATCCTCCGTATTCACCAGACCTTGCTCCAACGGACTACCATTTTTTTCGTGATTTGGACAATTATCTACGTGACAAGAAGTTTTCTTCCCAGGAGGTAGTACAAAATGCTTTCACACAGTTTGTGCAATCTAGATCGTCGGAGTTCTATCGCAAAGGCGTTAATAACCTTCCCATTAGATGGCAGCAATGTATAATAGTGGCAACTATTTTGATTAAATAAATTTGTTAAAAATTTAAAAAATAAACAATTTAGATTTTCAGTACAAATCGGCAATTTCATACTTTAACCCCTATTACTAACAATTCCCTCAGAGTAGGGTTGTTACATTATTATTTTAGTTGTAGTGTAAACTTTCAAGTTAAGGTGTTCATCATAGTTCATCATCACACACAATCTACTGCTATATGGAAATAACCTTTGTTAAAAGCAACAGTAGGTACTAACATAATGATATTTTTATACCAGCATCGCGGATTGGTATCTCGATTATGGTGCATGATTATGAAATAGACATCTTCAACAATTCTGAATTTCAGACACTCTCGTCAAACTACCACTGAACAATGTGAGTTCATCGCGAGGCTATGCGAATGTGTGCGTCTGTACACAGTGTCCAGCTGGAGTGCACCCATACAAGCCTCATTGCTTCGGTTAAATGGAGTTCCTATACTTATTATCTGCGACACAAAAGAAGTATATCACAAATACGACGTAAAATCTTAAGCCTGAAGTGCCCGAGATGGTGCTGGCTTTCATAACCCTTTAATCTGGAAAATAACAATACTGCTATGCAGTAAATGAAGTAGTGCAATGGTTGGCACCTACTCAGGCAAGTTAGACACAAACAATAAATTTTAAAATCTCAAGGTATATTCTAACATAACCTCCACTGAGAACTACTTTATGATATTATTTTTAAATATCTTATGTTTTATAGTCAGCCAATCCTAATTACCATAACATCCCATTCCAAGAAATTGTATTACCTGTACATGTCCAACATAAGGCATCAGATCCTTAATATTGTGAGTGAGATTCCCACAGATGTGCTGCAGGTGGAATATGTCCAGCAGTAGCTTGAGGTTTGGACTGTTTATATGCTTAATTATGTCCACCGCTGAAAAAATTAAAGCTTATTGTTTAATGATATTTGGTATTTTTGAGAGACAATGTTCCTATAAGAGCTCTATGTTTGATTTTAGTTTACTGTAGCCGCACAAGGAGGAAAAGGGCCCTGTGGCAATAATACTCTGTATTTCAAGTTCAATGATGCCGTTTAAACCACTACTACCATTTGTGTGTCAAACAAATAAAAAAATAAAAAAGCACCAATAGAGAAGTTTTGAACTTCTCTAAAATAGTAATTTCAATTACAATACCAAACTGGAGATATAGAATATCAACACCCACTGGTGGGTGGGTGGGTGTTGATATTGGTGGTGGTGGTGGTGGTGGGTTTCACCTGGTTAGCTGGCATCTGATACAAACAATTTCATAAGATAACCACTCGCAGACAAAGAAACAAATGCATCACCACAGGCAACCTTTTTTTTATTATTATTAGGGAGACTTCTTCTGGGTCTGTGATCACTACTAATTACAACTCTGGGTCAAAGCTTCTTATTCTAGACTGCTTCATGGCAAAATCTTAATTTATGTAGATGCACTGGTTAACATAACGTATCTTAAGGTGTAAGAATAGGTACATAGTAAAGTGATTTGCATTACCTTTTCCATAATCACTCAAGAAATACTTTGGCACAGAATGTTGATTAATAGGTTCAATCACTCCTATTATATTTTCTTCCTTTAGTTTGTTTGCAGCATACTTCAAATTGTTCTCATACGTCTTCCAGTTGGCTGTAGATATGTCATCAATCTTACCAGCCATTATGTGGATTTTCTTAGCATTCAAGGCCTTTGCATAGTCTATAGTCACATTGAGATTCGACACAAAGTCTTGTTCCTTGCCTGGTATTGCCGTCGTGCCCAATTCACCTTTAGCAACATCACCTGCAATGTTTTTCCAGTAATTACACACCAAATTTTTTTTTATTATATTAAGGGATGGGAGGAACAAGTTGTGCGCCTAATGGTAAGCTACACACCTATCCATAACAGTTGCAGTGCCACTCAGAGCTTTAAATCACAAAGACTTGACTAATCAAGTCTCACTGCCACCTCGCCCATCACCCAGAGACATAACTTGACATGTCCCATGTGTCTGTAATTTTAATTTATTTTTATTACCCTTCAAAACAGGAACACAGTAATGCTGGCATTACTGCTTGGCAGCAGAAATATGTAAGGTTGCAGTACTACCCTGGATGAACTCTTTCACAAGGAGCTCTACTGCTACAAAGTTTTCATAGACTATCAATACACTCAAAAAATTTAACAATATGAAAAACTAATACACAATGAAATACAGTGTGAGAAAGAATATAATATCGACAAAAGTAAGAGGTATATTACACACAATTAGGTCATGCTAAAATAACAATAACTACTACCTACCAGTTTTCAGATTAATCAACACTTGCTCGATGCCGCAACTCTCTTTTGCTTGCCTCACTTGTTCTAAAGTGTGTCCAAATGGGAAGCCTGATTCCACAGCCTTAAAACCAGCTTCTTTCGCTAAGGCATATCTCTCTAGGACGGTTACGCCTTCCGGAAACATAAACGAAAGGTTTGCACAGAACTTCATCTTCGTCGATATATGCAATATGAATAAATAGATACCAATAGGTACCTACTATTATAACGTACTAACAACCCAGCCTATGTACAGTTCATGTTCAAGACCGATAATGTTACCAATAGAGTTGAGCAGGTTGAGCATCAAATTCAATTGTACGGACAAGCGCGAACCTTGGTTATTCGGATTGGCGTTTAAAGAACTCCAAGGTATTATTATTATGTACACGTTGTAATTCGTAAAATTCGAGTGTATTTTCAAAGTTATTGGTTGTTATTTCTTTAAACGATATTTGGGGGTCTACTCTCGATCTCCGTCCAACATCCGTCCGAAACAATTACTGTCAAATAACTAATATTCGACAAAATTAAAAGACAAGTATCAAGTATGAGCATCATTCGCATCACGCGTGTTTTCATTTAGTCAAGTATTGCTTATTTGGCAGTAATTGTTTCGGACGGAGTTCGGGAGTAGACCCCCCGGTTTACAACAACGTTAATATTAGATTTTGTTTTTTTGCGTGATTTATGTCGTCTAACTGGGACTGGTAAATTAGTCCAGATTATCGAAACTGTGGCTCGGTGTGGTAATTTCTTATCTATCACGCAAGTTAACCACGCACAAGACACTACAAGTATTATTATTTCCTTTCATGGCGGCAACTAGCCTTGTGCCAGTGTCAGTCAGTTTCATAAAAATAATATAAAAATTCATCGCCAGCGTACAAGAGTAATAATATTTTGTTCTAATTTTGTATGTGTCATTCAATGACTTTTTAAACGATAATCGTCGAAAACTTTTTGGAGTTGTATTCGCGTACATTTGATTGGATAAGGCATATTCTCACATTGTCACCCTAATTAAATTATAGTATTTAATAATGTATAGTATAGTCCTTTCCACAGTGAAACTTAAATTTAAGTATGTACGTAAATAAAATACAGTCCACCATTTTTATTATAGAAGACTGGTGCTCAAACTAAGTAAACCCTGTGTTATGCAAAATACAATGTTTTGTCACATTTGTCGCCAGAAGGGATTTTCACTGGTGACAAATGGGAAATAAATACACATCAGCCCCCGTAGCATGGCTACGCGTGATAGTCGCGACACGCGCGATAAAATTGTAATAAGCGCGCGCTATTGGCTATCTAAATTAGATATGATTGAGACTGCCAATAGCGCGCGGTTATTTCAATTTTATCGCGCGCGACGCGACTATCATGCGTAGCCATGCTACGGGGGGTGGTGACAAATGGGATAAAAAGATATGTTGTTGCCACTGGCGACAAATGGAATTTAAAACATCCCAATAGTTGCCAGTGGTAACAAATGGAATAAAAATCCCAACTAACATTTGTTCATAGCCGTCTTCGAAAGGGAATAAAATAAAATTTGATTTTAATGATATACCATCTGTATAGGAAATGAAACTATTTTTCCGGATTTAAATCTCGTATATTTGGTTTTTCAAACAAACCGACGTTTCGGACCCTTTATAGGTCCCATGGTCACGGTTGATACGGTTGACATGGGATCTGTAACGGGCCCGAAACGTCGGTTTGTTTGAAAAAACAAATATACGCGATTTAAATCCGGAAAAATAGTTTCATTTCCTATGTGTAACAATCGCGAAAACCTAAGAACTCGATATACCATCTATATTTTAAGTTTTTCTCGTACTAATACGGTTCACTTTGCTTGGAGCGGCAGGGACACTGGCTTTATTTGAAAATTTATTTTTTTACAAACAAAATTAAAGTCATTTGAAGAATGTAGGTCAGTATATCGCAAGTATACATGTTCTATTTAGTTCAGTTGATATAATCACTGTATGTAAAGTACCTATTTAATACAGCGGTAGTCTTGTAAAATTTCGATGTAAGTTTGTATTTTATTTCTATCGTGAAAATTTTTAGGAATTGTGTTTTCACACCATATAGTAAACCTGTGTATATTCTCAATTATACTATATATTTTTTCCAATGTTGAAACAAAATTCAACACTGTCACTGTTGTGTTTAATCAACCAAAGCCATTTGAGTTTGTATAAACTCCAGCTCCACATTGAAAAATATATCTAATCATGCACGAATAAACCACATTAAGGCGAGGTGTTTGAAAGCGAGTCTAGATTTTAGGCGAGGTATGAGATCCGACTTTGACAAGCGTCTGATGGCGTCTGTTGGGGCAGCAGGCGGCGCAGTGTGTCATTAAGCCGCTGGGTCATTTTCATGTTTTGGTATAGGTAAATGTAAGTTTAATAATTACTAAAGGGGTTCAGTTGAAAACGAAAATTAAGCAGGTCCTCTGTACTATTTAAAGATCAATATTTACATATAAAAATTATGTTTAAAGTTACATTTTTTAATCTTAAATAATTCATTTTTATATGACCTACAATAATACATACCATCGTGTAACGAATTAGCACATAAACATATCCTTATCGTACATTTTTTATAAGACTTTTTATTAGCATAATCTAGCAAGAAAGTCTATCCCGCTTCGCATCCGTAGAGTCGTCTTAAATCCGTAAAAATAAAGCAAGACAAAATATTTCTTATTTTTTTATATTATTATTTCAATAAGCATGCAAAAAAGTTAGTGTTATATTTTTACAATAAACGCTAAGGATGGAATAATTAATGTCATTTATACAGTCGAGTGTGCGATGCCATGAAATGTTTAAAGTATTTTATTCCAATGAATAAATTTAATTAAACACAACGACTTTCGACAATAATAAGACGTATTAACATACACATAAGTGATTAGGCAAGCCACTGTACTAAGTGTCCGCAGATAACACATATTTTTCAATGCCGAATGTTGTACTAAATACCCTTGCAGTATCTAATAACTACTATTTATATTATAATTCTGAGAAATGCAGTATTGGCAAATAAGGTCTAACATTTATGGTATAACAAGAGGTATTTACGGTTTAAATTACATAAATATGCTTTTTGATATTAACACAGCCACTTTTTATATACTAATGCTAATTTAGCACAAGGGCCGAATGAGGTAACCTTTACTTACAAGCATTTCAGCGAGGTGCAGAGTTGAACACAAGCTGTAGGCAAATAAGACCGAATTTACAATGTACATTATACAAAGGTATAAATTTCGTTGTTGTATTAATTGTGAACTGTATTTTATCTGTATGCACTTTGTATTCTATTATGCACACGCTGATATGCGTATTCAGTTCATACCTTTTTCAGTTACTAGTTTAGCATTATAACATGTAAATGTTTTATGTATAAAAAAATAAGTTAAGTACGTTATATGAAATTAAAAAAATCAGGCTTATGAAAAGGAAAACTTATTTACTTACTAACGACATTTAGATTGAGCATTTAGCGATTTGTATACCCTGTGTAACACCTTCGGCTAATTTAAACAATGACAAATATTGAACAAAGTAGATACTTAAATGTTAAAAAGTTCTTGTTTAAACATCCTAAGGAAACTATAACGATAGCATAATAATAATATTAAACACTTTATTAATTGAAGATGAAGTTCTTTTGTAATATTCTGAATTAATTTCAAAATTCTCCCATAAAATAACTCCATTAAAATAAGTCTTACAGGAACATAAAGCAAATACATTCAGGAATGTCAATATTGAGTTTCTATAAAAGCTTAAGCGAGATTTTAAACAATTATAAAACTGAACGCATGTACCCCTTTAGAGGTTTTATTTGGAAGAGGTCACTTTACATTCTGTGCTCGCAATACAGTTCAGTCCACAATTCCACATGTTCTCAGACACACAAATCTACATTTATTTGTAGATTATTTGAGATAGATTTCAGGAAAAAGAAGTATGAAACTTCTTTTTCCTGAAATCTCTCGAAAAAATCTTTTTCTTGAAATTATAACTTCAATATAGTTCGTATATGGTTTGTATTTATAACTAATCTTTTTTTTTAAATGCAAAGACGAGTATTGCAGTCTTCATTTTCTACTTTAAATTTATATTTAATATTTGATTAGCTAGGAACAGTCAAGGGCACACCTAACTAGACACTTGTATTAGTATCGCTAGTTGTGCAATGGAACTTATGCTCTTAACTGTAAGACTCAATATAATTTTAAACTAAGTTTTCAGACTGTTACTCATAAGGATTTGCCTGCTAAAGGGATCAATGACTCTGGCATACAACGCAAATAACTATAATAATGATCTACAAATCCACAAGGCGCAGGGAGACCGGTGATTTGGGCGACAGCAAAAAATCGAAGTCGATGTCCAACTCGCCGTCAAATTCCACTCGCCACCGTTGCAGGATCTGTAAAACAGTTAGGAAAATATTTAATTAAATATAGAGATTACTGGTGGTAAGGATCTGAGCAGGACGCACTCGCAGTTTTTTTAGTAGCAGTAGACCTCCTTGTGAAAGTCCAGGAAAGTACTGCCACCTTACTTATTTCTGCCGCCAAGCAGTCATGTCAGCATTACAGTGTTCCAGTTTTGAAGGGTAAGGGCGCTGGTGAAATTACAGGCACATGGAACTTGTCAACTTCTGTCTCAGGGAGATGGGCGCAGTAGCTGAGTGACACTGCAACGATTATATAGTGTAACTTGCCATTAGGCGTACGACTAGTTCGTTCCGTCACTTGATATTATAAAAAAATCTTGCACCGCTGCCCTACCGATTTCTAATGTAAAGCAACACAGTTGTACTCCGGATTGAAATGGGCCGTCTAACTGTTAAAATCGAGCTGCATAAACCCTAAGTCTTGTCGATGGATCATCACTATGTTTGGTTTGAGAAGCCATCGAAATCACAAAGTTCCAAACGGTTTAGTCATGAAGACGGAGACTGGGTAGTTTGAAAAACTCTAAGGCTCAAGTCACACTGGCGCAGAATCGAAGCGTCGTGACCTGTCATGTTCGCCTATAGCATATTCATCTCTTTTCTCCCATTATTAAGATACACATTTGTGTTATGCAAATATAGAGTCGCGCGTCGACGCGCATCGACGCTAGGTTGAGCTCGAGCGGCTTCGCGTGTCGACGCGCGTCGTCCGGCGTTACTTGGGCGCAGCGAGGCGCCGACCAGATCGTGATCCGGGCGCACTAATGCGAGCGTCGACTAACTACTTATGATATAAAAAACTGATTGGAAGAGGTTGTATATCTCGTTTAGCAGTACCCAGATATGTTAATAACTCAATTCCATTAAAAATGTCGATATTAGTTATGTTAAGGAGATGACCACGGAAGTAACAGCATGGAGGTACAGAAAGGGGGCTATGGCCCCGGATGGCATTACAATGGAGGCGGCGGCGAACCCTAACACAAAATTATTATTTTTTTACTTAAAATTAGAAAATTAATTCCACTATTTGAGAAAACGATATTCTCAACAACACAGAGATGGCGATGGTTTGCTAAAACAGAAACACTATCGAGCCGAACCTACCCAAAAAATTATAAATTAAAATTATAAAATTAAGAATTTATTTATTTCTCAATTTGGTTCTACAAAGGTAGATCAGGTCCACCCTTTAAGCAAATGTATGCTTGTGTTAGGAAAGCCTTGTAACTAAGCTTAAAACTGAGAATTTACAAAAAGTTACATCAGTGGGTTAGTTTTAAGATATAATGATATTTGAAATGGAAAAATTAAAAATGAAAAATAAAAATTAAAAATAAAATGAAAAATTTTCAGTATGTAATGTGTATAAACTTGTGTGTGTGTGTGTGTGTGAGAGAGAGAGAGAATGTGTGTGAGTGTGAGAGCGCGCGCGTGCGTGCGTGCGTGCGTGCGTGCGTGCGTGCGTGCGTGCGTGCGTGCGTGCGTGCGCGCGCGTGTGTGTGTGTGTATGTGTGTTTGAAGAGATAGAGAGAGAGAGAGAGAGAGTGTGTGTGTGTGTGTGTGTGTGAGCGTGTGTGCGTACCTGCGCGCGTATGCATGTTATGTATTCAAATGATTTGTAGTGTTGTTAATTAAGGTATGCGTTCTAAGATATTTTCCACTTCCTCATAAGAAAGGGTTTTCAACCATTCACTTAACGCCTTCCTACAGTCATATTGTTTCATGGGATAAATTCGTAACGTTTTGTTGATGGAGTTGTAAACATAACAAGCTTGCGAGTTGTACTGTCGACTGGCAAATGCTGTTCGGACAGTGCGTGAATATGCTACGATATCATTTCTTCGTTTATTTTGGTCAAACGGCAACGATTTCTGTAGTGTTAGGGTCATGTTCAGAATGTACAGCTTTCTGATACTCAAGAGGTTGCCGATCCTATATAGAACATCTGTGGAAACTCTAAAAGCTTTGAAATACATGACCTTCAAAAGGGCTCTTTGAGCTCTCTCCAAGTCAATAAGCTTCAGCCTGGTAGCTCCCCCCCATACTGGTATACAGTAAACAATAACTGACTGAACAAGAGCTACATAGATTTTGGTTAATAGCTCTCTATCCATTACGTGTCTTAAAGTTTTAAAAATCCATGCAAGTTTCCTTACTCTACCCATAATCAGTTCCAGATGGGAATGCCACGAAAGTCTTTGGTCAATTATAATTCCCAGATATTAGGCATAGCTGACCTTTGTAATAGGTGAACAGTTGCAGATTTGGTTGGGACAGTCACCACAGGTGTGGATCTTTATTACAAAGTCAATCGCTGGCTGAGAGTTTATGTAGGGAGCAAATATAGTTGGTTTTTGTTACGTTCAGGGTGAGGAGATTAGAATTTAGCCAATTAGCCATTTTCGCTAGACCTGTTTCAGCAGTGCGCTTAACTGCGTCTCATGTCTTCCCAGTGAAAACCACGGCAGTGTCGTCCGCATAGGAGAATATCCTTCCGCCTCCGATCTCTAACTCACATAGTTGATTTATATAAATCAAGAACAGAGTCGGACCGAGTGCACTACCCCATCCGAGATCTTTTCTTCACCACTACAAAATTTGTCAATTTCAACAGTTTGTGATCTATCCAAAAGATAGTTTTCAAAAAGTGAGAGAGCAGAGCCTCTTATGCCAATGGTTTCAAGCCTACGTACAAGAATGGTAACTGAGACTGTGTCAAAAGCTTTCTTAAGATCTCGAGAATATATATGAGAATATAATATATAAGATCGAGAGAAAGATCGTGACGCATTTGTTTTTTTTTTATCGACCTCCTCTGAAATCACAGAAGTTAACGCTAAAAGTCCTGAGTCGACAAGCCCTTCCTAAAGCCAAATTGGGAGTTCGAAAGTAACTTAAATTTGTTGAGAATCTAATGTTAAGCAGTTTTTCTATAATTTTGGAAATACTCGGCAGTACAGATATAGGTCTGTAGTTATTAATATCATCGCTGGCCCCACTCTTGTACACAGGGGTAATGATGGAGCGCTTCAGAGCAATGTAACCCAATAGAACTGCTTTTATATTACAATCGTGAAAATAGAGAGGGCAATGAATTACCGGGCAGCAGAAATCAACGCTACACCCACTAGATAAGAAGGGCAGACCAGCTTCCGTAGCATGGCTATGCATGATAGTCTCGACACACGCGATAGAATTGAAATAAGCGCTATTGGCTATCTAAATTAGACCTGATTGAGCAGCCAATAGCGCTCGCTTACTCCAATTTTATCGCGCGTGTCGCGACTATCATGCATAGCCATGCTACGGGGGCTTGAAGAGTTATTTTTCGCTTAGTCTTTTGTATATTCAACTGTCTCCGTGGCCGTACCGCTACCATACTGGACTGCCACGCAAGAGGTCCCGGGTTCGGTTCCCGTGTCGGGAGAAATATTTTTATGGCCTACATTTATTTCTCTCGTGATTTTGGGTGTAATTTATGGTTGTTTATGTGTATGTCCATGGCACCCGCGATACAGGGTTTCCCTAGTGCGGGTCTATGAGTGTGTGCGCGTTTATTATTTACCCAATACGATTTAACGACATCTCCGACACACATATTTCCTCATGGTTTTTCTTCAACACTATAGCAACAAATTAATAACTAATTACTAATAAAATTTTATAGGTCACCTTAACCAGCATTAAATGCAGCTGCAGCTCGACAAACCGTTTGCCAGGGCACATGCGGCGGCCACGGCCGAAGGGAGCTACCAGTGACGTGGCGTGTGGTTCTCGCACTTCCATCCAGCGCTCGGGAAGGTACTCGTTAGCGCGCCAAAAGTTCTCCTCACGCCGGCATGCGGCCATTGTGTGAACTAGGACGAATGTCTGTAAAATTTGAAATCCTTTAAGACTATATTTAAACTAATTTAATAACATGTGTCTCATGTGCATAAGTGAGTGAGACCTACCAGACGGACTGCATTCGCGAATTCAATATACGTATTATACAAATGCTTTCGAAACTGAAATAGTCGCACGTCTGGCTCAGGAGCTCAGTGTTAAAGTTTAGGTCGAAATAGAAGCACAAGCACAGACGTTACTTGTTGATGTCACTGTATTCTGAACGTTTATGATTCCAAATTCTTTTACTTTTCGTTATAGAAATAAACATATCATTATCGAAATCCTTCATTTTAATTTGTCAACAAATTCACGTCCATAGGTAATCCGTGGTATTTGAGATAAAAAAATATAAACAAATGCAAAGGTGCCATTACAAAAAACAATATTTTAAGAATTGTGTAAATATGAAAAGATGCAAAAGAAATGCATATTATTTATATTGTACACACGCCAGCACATCAAGCTACACATTGACGTATCTTGTTCCGTTGCAATGGAGGCGATTTTCGAACAAAAATGTGTAGCCTGATGTGCCGTTGTCCGTACTTAAATTATGTGCTTGTATAAACAAATAATTATCAAACTGTTACTTTTTTCGAAACGAACCCGAGACCTCGTCCAGTGCCCATAGTGCAAACCATTGGGTCACCGAGAAGGACATTATTGTGATAGGTACTGACAAATAGAAGACGATTTCGATATACTGTACCCAAGATTAAGATGATAATGAAGTAATTATTGCGCTATGTGAAAAATATATCTCTAGTATGTAAACCTTACGTGAAAACAAATAAATACGTAAAACAAATTATTGTTTGTAATTCGGGACTGAGCGCACACTCAGACATCAAAGAATGTAACGGTCGACGGGCCGGAAGTGCAAAAAGTGGTAGCGTTAATTTTGTTTGTGTAAGTATTATTAATCTCTTTTTTGTATCTCTATGTGTCGTGGTGTTGGAATAAATGTCTTTTATTCTATTCTAATTAGATACTTGAATGGTGGAAACAATGATCTTGTGGAACTATTTCCAAACGGAACGAATAAACGAAGCTTTCCAGCGCAACGTCTCAGAAACATAAATGTAAGCGACAAATCGTAAAACATCATTTTAATTAACATTTTAGGTTCGGAGATTTAACATTAAATCTGTTTCAGAAAAATCAACCGTGATTTTGTTTTTAAATAAACCCTCTGGGAGTTGTTACCTTTCGCCAATTACTGCTTTTGATTCTCGGACTATCAGTCGCTCACATCGACTGGCAGCCGACCATCGCAGTTGAAATCCGACTGCGCGCAGTTGAAGCCTCGACTACATGCAGTTATTGTCACGACTGCATTTAGTCGTGGACCCGATATTTATGAAAATGCTCACCCCTGCAGGCAATCGATGCCCATTAACGTTCAGAGGTGAGTCGAGTAATCTAGCAAGGAAGGGCGCAGTGGGCAACAGGCGAAAAGCTTCCTTGCAGGCGGCACGAACAGAGGGAGCGGCGGCGATCTGCTCGGCGCGCAGTTCGCCGCCCGTCGGCAGCTCGCTGCGGATCCGTTCCTGCCAGTCTGGCCGCCCGCTTAGCAAGTATAACAGAAACACTAGGCTGTTGGCTAACTGTAACACGAATCAAATATTTTGTTAAAAAATGCCAGTGCTTATTAATGATGGCTTCATTCAGAGCCTGTGCAGTCAACATCTTATACACAAACATAATAAAATTAAGCAAGTAAACGTTCGTTGTGTAATTACTACATAGCTTTTTGAGAGAAAATTTACGGTCACATAAAATGTAAGAAGTACTTTGTAAACAAAATCGAACTACTACATGTCAGAATACTACGATCTGACCAGCCGCCATTCAATGGCGTGCTAAGTGAAAATAGGTCAAGAATCAATTGTTACCGTTTCGATACCAGCTGTAATGAAGTCGATGATGGCTGCTTTCTTGTCGCGCACATCAAGAGCAGGATTTTCGAGGATCTTAATGAATATCTCCTGCATGCCGTCGTCCTGAGCCACGTTCCGCTTCCGGCTTCTCGCTTCCTCCATCAACTCAGATACAACTCTAAAGAACAATGATGGATAGATAAGCAACTTATTTTGATTGCCTCTCCTGATCGAAAATTGCGTCTTTTCCGAGTCGAGGCGTATAATATTGCTGATGGGCTACCGGGTCGGATCGAACCGATCGGGCCCTGGATGGCCTTATTAACTAAATAGTTTAAGTAAGTATATAAATATAACCTATTATATAGTATATAAATCCAAATCGCGTATATTTGTTTTTAGTAATTAAACATTGTTTCGAGCCTTTTACAAGTCGCGAAAGTCTAAAGACTCGGTATACTATAAAGCACCAATTTTCGTTTTTGACATGGTCATGAACATGGTCTGGTTTTACTTACGTGTGTATTGTCTCCTCACTTTTCACAAAGGCTTTATAAAGCTTAGTAGGCGCAAACTTCCAGAGAGGGGCTCCGAAATGAGAGTCGCGTTGGGCCCTGAAATGGGTCTTGACCGCCGAAGCCAGAGCGGTGGCGCGGCCTGACATCCAGCGCTCCAGGAATCCTAACCGCGTACCTAACATCAATCCGCACACCGCTAGAAAAGGAAAACAAAATTTGTATTACCGGGACTGCGATAATGCCGCATTTATTTACCGCTAGAAAAGGAAAACAAAATTTGTATTACCGGGACTGCGATAATGCCGCATTTATTTACCGTACGTACAAAGTAAACAGACATTAAGTATAGAGTTCGCACAATAAACGACCATATAATGTGCGTTTAACATTTGGTCATAATCTTGTCTCTTTAGAGCAGATTCTAATTCAAATAACGTTCGTCTACCGTATCGTTTTTGACACAGTCTTGAACTATAAGTGATATCAGGAACACCTAATTTTGTATAACAAATAATGACGTCATTGTGATGCCATCATAATCATTGTTACTATTACCGTCTTACACATATATAATGTATTTTCCTTATGCCGTAGACAATTTCTATGATAATACATATTTACATCTCAATATTTACTTGTTTCCTAAAATATTATCCTGATTCATTAACCCACTTCAAAAAAGGCTGTTCTCAATTCGACTGTATTATATATTTTTTTTTGTATGTATGTTACGCGATAATTTGTGAATCGATTTTGATGATTCTTTTTTTTTTAGAAAGAGGTTACTGAGGTAACAATTGCAAGCATTGCTCCCATTTAAATTTGATGAAAATATTCCACCTCTAAGGGTGGCAAACTAGGTGATGAATCCTTTTTCGCGTACTTTCCGGTGACCGATTTCAATAAAACTCGGCTAATAGATGTAATTACACGACCTTTTCAGGTCGGCTTTTTTAATACTATGTACTGAGATTATTATGACGTTTTATTTATCACAACATGCATTTTTGAAGGTGATTGGCGATATCTTGATGATTCTTGAAAATGTACATGAGCTTCGCTATGAATGAGTGCTATGTAAAAATGCTTAGTTTAATTGAAAGAACACACTCACACCCATATCAAGTCTATACGATGAATTTGCTAATATTATGTCTAGTTGGTTGCTTTGTTGGTGTGAAGGCATTATATTACGATGAAATAGGAATAAATATTGAGGACACCATTTGGGACTAGAAAAAGAAAACCAGCAAGTATTTAATATTATTTCTTGTATGTTTGAAATGTTACTAGAATGGGAGCTGTTCTCGTAGTAAAGAATAGTCACTGGTTCTTTCAGCGCCGAGGGTTTATAAAAATGAGGATACAATTTATCGTTGAAAACTAGAAAATCAACTACGTAATCAAACTCTAAACACTTAAAGTTCTCTACGCAAACACAGGCAAAGATAGTAAATAAAACTGAATAGGTAAGAACACCTTGCAACCTTACCTAACAATTGCAGCACGTTAGCTATTTAGGTGCATTAAACACGAGGGTTTGATCATCTCGCATGATGACACATTGTTAATATTCCAAATATTGTTTCAATTTTAATTTAGCAATCAATGCCCTAGAAAGTACTATTGTAAGATCAGTTAACACAGTCAGAACATTAAGCTTAAAGGTGCGTCTACGCTTACGAGCCAGCACGTGCCGAGCACGAATTCGTGTAGTGTGGACTGACTTACGAGCCTCGAACGAACGCGGGCCGAGCGTTCGTCTAGTGCTCGACTGTGTTCCGCCAATTGTCGGTTTTTTGACATCTCAAAGGCATTCGCATCGCACTCGCAGTGCGCGTGACTTGTTTTGTGACAGATACTTCGCTCGAGCCGAGCATCATGGAAACGTGGTCAGATGAAGTTTGTTTGCAATTAATGAATTGTATCAGAATACTCCAATTGGCCTTCTAGCTTTTTCACTGATTTCGTCTATAATAATCGCAGCAGCCGCAATAGTTTAAGCGTCCATGTGTGCCACGAGTCGCGAGCACACTGCGGAAAGCTACGTTCGAGGACAGTGATCGTTGGAGGCTCATCGTACGTCCTAAAATGTGGACGATGCTGCGAACGACGACGAGCAGAGCGGCTCCGCTCGTGCTCGGCTCATTTAGCGTAGACGCACCTTAACACTTTGGACTTTGGTCCGTTGTTATCGTAAGCGGCACAATTAAATTTAAATCTTAAGTGCCCGAGACGTAGTCTTGACCTTGTACGTAATTAACTTCAACAGGACCGACAAGTCCGTCCATAACAGTTGAAGTGCCACTCAGAGCTCTAAATCGCGAAGATTGGTAGGTCTCGATCTGAGGGACCGCCATTGCGCCAGTTACCCTGAGACATAAGTTGACAAGTTTCATGTACCTGTAATTCCACCAGCACCCTTACCCTTCAAAACGGGAACACAGTAATGCTGATATTACTGCTTGACGGCTAAAATAGGTAAGGTGGCAGTACTTCCCTGGACGAACTCTTTCATAAGGAGCTCCACCTCTACTGCTACAAAAACTTAACTCAATAGCCTTGCTGGAAGTGACTGAACATGAACTTGGAAATATTGTAAGAAGTATTCGTGACTGCGTGGGATACCAAATGAACGTGCGGTTACGGCAATTTACAATCTGGGCACAAGAGTGTCTTCGAGAGAGAGTTTTAAAGAAATTAACATTCTTACAGTAGCGTCACAATACATCTATTTAAAAATAATTTATGTCAAGAAGAAATAGTAATTTTCTCAAACATGCTCGGAAATGTTTGCATTACTTTCAAAAAACGAACACGGGAAGTTAGTCATTTATGGAGTGTGAGACTTCTTCCCGGTAAGTATAAAAATGGCTGACGGGACGTGGCTGGGACATGGACGGGTCGTACTCTGTCAGGGGCTTAAAAAAATATCGTTGCGTATGTGTTGTATGAACTCGTTCACACATGTCCGTGTCCGGGCCGACGCCGGGACGAGCCCGCAATTCATACAAACTAGCACGTTCCGTCCACGTCTCGGGCACGGCCCCTGATGTGTGTGGATAGTCCTTTCTAAACTTTGAGCTATGTAAACAGGCAAAGGAAAAACTCATACAGCCAATTGCCCAGTGTTAGAAATTGCGAGAATTAAAAATGCCTACTTATAAGTACCGCTTACTTAAAAAAAAAGGAAAAGGCGGTAAAATAAAATAAAGTGCTTTGGTATTCTTTTCTGTTTTTTCGTCATTTTTGTATTTTTGCCGTGAAAATAAGTGAGACGAGCGGTAACGAAAATACAGTAATGGATTGTACTCCTCCTAATTTAAAACGAGGCAATATTAGCGATGGAAAACTTGTTGCCGGCAATGAGCAAAGCAAGATATATGAAAACTGAAACTTTCAATAAATAGCAACTAAGGTAAGGTTTGTTCATATATACATATATCGTAATGTTCCGATACTGTAAATAAGCGTAACAAACCTTTGTTTGTTTCCAGTTGCTCTAATTTTAGGGATAAATGGTGCATGCAGTAGTACAGACGATGTCTCACCACCACGATGTAAATTTTTTTGTAAAATTATTCCACTAGTTTGTTATAATTATTAATACAAAGATCGAATACTCAGAAAAAAGGACTTAGACCCGGCTGGATTCGAACCAACGTCTTCTAGATTTCTCACAGATGACGCTATGGCAAAAAGTCGTTAAAAAACCAAAGCAAAAATCTGCAACAAGCACAAAGAAAAATTCGTAAGGCCCACTGGTTCGTTCCGTGGCTTGGCATAGCGTCTGCCACGGTTTCCTAGAAGATGTTGGCTCGAATCCAGCCGGATCGAAGGGTTTTTTCTAATTATTCCATCTTTGTATTAATATAATAATATCCATCATCCATCCATAATATTCCATTTTTGTATTAATACTTATAATAAACTGTATTCTCGACAAATCGATATTGAAAATTTACCACCATTTACGAAGTTTAAAACCGAATAGAGAAACAAATACTTTACACTTTAAAGTAAAAGGTTATATCGTTTATAGTATTATACACTTCGGCGTACTTAGATGACAAAAATCCACATTATTGACCCGTTTAGCTCTCGCAGGTTGTGTCGATCTATGATATTTGAAATAAATGAAATGATGAAATCTGTACAAATTTCTTAGCCATTCTTCTCAGGAGTATCTACTTTATGAGTGAGTAGTGGAGTTCAATCAATGAGAAGATTTAAAGTATTTTTATTTTGATAATATACAGGTAAGGTAAAAAGACAATAAAAAGCTTAAATACTAAAAAGTAAAAGTCGGACTTTTAAATAATATGTATAAAATTGGGTCCGTGCGGCAAGGTGCCCAAGATGCTGGCAGCGTTCCCCCTTTGTATTGAGCTATACTAATGCGTTGGGCAAGGTAGCTGCCGGCCCTTGGGTTCAAGTGTAATTTGCTATTAAACAAATATTATTTGAGTTTGAATTTGTACTTTTAAAATCAACGTATACTCCATTTTAATGCTAATCATTACATACATTTGCAATTTGAAGGAACATTTTAAATACTAAAAAACTGCCCTCCGCGCACGTAAAAATATATATTGGAGACTATCGTACTGTATCCCAGTCTGGGAATGTAACTGTGAAAGACGTGAAACCTTAGAGGATGGAAAAAAATAAAGGAAAGGAGCTGCCCTATCTACGAAATAAACGTCCCTACCTAAACATTAATGTCCACCACAAATGGCGGATTTCTTTAGTGTTGTACCATAATCATCGATAAGTCAATATCGACATGCAAATGTATGCCTTGAATGTTGAAACGGTTTGTTTTTTTTTGTTGTTTGTAATTTACATAGTTTTCTGTAATCAATATATGATTAAAATGTTTAATTAAAGAAGATTAATATTCATTGTTATATGGGAATATCCGGGATGACAGATATCAGATTTCGAATTTATTATTTTGCATTTATAAATGCTCACATATAACGAAAAATAATATAAAACAGAACATTACTATGCATTACCAATCTCAATAGGTATTGATATTAGATTTTTTTAAAAGGTTTCCAAATAGTTTAAGTTGTTATGTATTAATGTATTGGTATAGAATTAATATCAGTGATTTTGATTTAGGTGAATCTAAACTTCCACTTAATTTTTAAAATAAATAAAATTACTTATATAATTGTAATAACATTA